AGGTCAACAAGAATACTATTCAGAGTGAGCTTAGAGGAAGGCAGAGCAAGTTTAGGCCATAAAGGAGACATAAGAAAATAAGGAAAAAATAAAAGGGGAAGTAGAGTGCATTTTTATTGTGACTAAGGGAGTTTCAAGAAAGAAGGTATGATCAGCAAAGTCAAATGACAATATTCAAATATTTTAAACTACAAAAATGATCATTTTATGTGGCTCACACTAGTAAGCCTAATAAGTTAGGAGCAAATTGGTTTTGACAATTTGATAGACCATTGGGGGCAATTTTTCTTGAGCATGGGGGATAAGACCAGATTGCTTTAGGTTGGAAACAATGAAAGCGATATGTGGCAAAAGCAAACATTTTCAGGAGATGGTAATACACAAGAATGGATGGTAGTGTATGTTCCATCCTTCAGCACGAATGCAGGTCCTAGATTCTGTCAGAGTACTAGATTCCAGACAGTAGAGTTGCAACTGGGAAGCAAAAGCAATAATTTGTTTGTGCAGACTATGTAGATTATAAAACCCAAAGCTCAACTTGTCAATTTGGGATATGTGAAATATTAAGTCTAAGAAAACAGGGAAAGGTTAAGAGCAGGAACCTAAGAAAATATTTGCAGCAGTCAATCAGAAGTAGAAAGTAGGTGGGAAAGCTCAACCTTCTTATGATGCTGAGGACTTAACGGCAAGAAGCCTTTATCCTAGGTAAAGGGTAAGCGGTTCAGGAGGCTTAGCCAGTCAGGAAAGTTTGACATAAATAGAAGCAAGATCAAATGAGGGATTATGTTTTTACTTTTTAATGGAAAACCATTGAACATTTATATAGAATAAAATGAATTAATTATATAAAAGGGAAGAGAACATCAATAGATATTAATCCTAGGGGAAGCAGGTGAAAATGAGGTCAAGGGCAGTGATTAAGTGATTACTTTAATAAAGGGTAAGGGATACCTCTTCTTCCAAGACAGGAAGTTATGTGATGATTGGGAATCAAAATACATTTGAGGTTTTGGATATAGAATATTGCTATAGATTATACTTGTCAATTTATGAGTTTTCATAAAGTCAGAGACGAGATTACTGTTGAGAGAAAAGGGTCTCCTTTTGTTGAGTAAGGGGCTTGAATAGAGTTGTAAAGTCTTGGAATAGAATTGCAGTCTGCAGGATACATTGATGAACAAGTAAAACGTAAATGATTAGTGGGCATTTCTGGGTGCTCACTGGTGGGCATTTCTGAGTGCTCATTCTGGGTGCTCACTATGAAGGATTGTGTCATTACAAATTCATGGTGATCAACCACTAGTGCTCACCACTAGAGGTTGGTCACCATGAATTTGTAATGACACAATCCTTCATAGCTGTGTATTTTTTCATATTTACTACATATTACAAGTGTAGAAGGTAGCCTTTAGAATGATTTCAGTGTTGGGGTTTTGCTAGGCTGATGCAAAAGAGTATGAGAGTATCCGAGTTTATAAAATTTGTTTTTCAGAAGATCAAGCATCAAATCTGGATAAACTGTGAAAGGTAGCCCTTGATGGGCATAAATAAAGGTGAAAGATAAGAGGAAATATGAACTCAAAATTTCAATGAAGTCAAAGATTAAAAGTGACACGGTGGACAAAGGACCAAAAGATTCAATGAAATTGGAATCATTGTTAAAAATCAATATTACAAAGATAGAACCATTTTAGTTGATGACAGGAATGGATGACCAAACTGAAGACAGGCTTGAATGGAGATCATCAGCATTGAGGTCAAATAATGATCAAGTCAGTGTATGTTCTTATGGGCATTGAAATCACTCATATTGATGGCAGAATTAAGATGGATACATGGAATGAATCATGGTATGTAAGTGTTTAAAGAATATGGAGGAGTGACCACAAGTTTGTAAAGATCAGAAATCAGGAGGGACCAAGATTGCTCAATGAAATTATAAAAATCTTAGATTTAAAGGAAGGAAGAAGAGGAATTATAGAAACAGATTTAAAAAATGAGGGGAACTCTATTTCATTTTCTGATTTGAGGGTCTATGGACAGTGAGAGGATGGTTACATTTTATTGGAGATAACTCAGGGGGAGCTATGTTTTCCAGAGAAAGCCTGGTTTTAGTTATGGCCAGCAAATGAATAAATAATTTAGGGAGGAGCTAGGATTCCACAGTGCACAGAAAAAAGGATGGATATCATTGAACAGATTGGGGATAAGAATAGAGGAGATTATTACAGTTTGGGAGGTTATCATAGTTGAGAGATGTAAAGAATTGGGCTCTTAATTGCCTTGCTGTTTTAAACATATCTCTAAGGAAGAGTTTCAGTGGTGATGAAAACTGAGGCTTCAGGAGCCTGTGAAAAAAATTGCCAGCAGCTAGGTCTGCATTGCAGGTGGAGTAGGGCAGAGCTGGAAGAGATATCAGTGGCTAAAGACTGTCTGTAGGTGCTGAAACTGCCATAGGACCAAGTCAAGCGGCCAGAGAGGCAATAAGGAACAACCCCAGGGGGTGAGAGGCCTTATGTGCTTCACAGTACATATATACTTTACAAAAGCACACATAAATATCTTTTTATTTATAAATGAAATTTTAATTATCTTATTACTTCATTAATGCACATTTATATATGTTCAGTCATTTTTCAAGTTGTGAAAAATGTTTTTATTTCTCAGAGGCTGTGCATAACTAAAACAAAAATGGGAAAAATAAAAATATCCACCAGTGGTTGAATCCACATCACAAAAACAGCCTGATTTGCTTGAATATTTTTTTATATTGAACAGGCTATCCTATTTTTTATATTTTGGCTTTAGTATATAACCAAGAACACCTAAGTGGAATTAATGCACACAGCATGAGGAATTTTACTGCCTCATTCAAATGGGAAACTGACCTGCCCTGACTTTTTTAATAGGGCATGGTGATAATTGGTAAAGTGGTGTGGTGGCAGGTTTATCCAGCTGGTCACCTGCCTTGAGAGCAGCTTTCCTATTAAAGTTAATCCATCCATGAAGGACCTTTGAATGTGTTGTTTCTGCAGGGTGGGTGCTCTGCTGATGCATTCTGCTCAAACCCCAAATAAAGAAACGCTTGAGTTATTTTTGATTCAAAGCAAGCAAAGGGTGATAAGCAACTGCCTGTACAATTGGAGCATATGCTTGCTGAGTTCTAATTCTCTTTTTGCTTTGAGACCAGATGCTATATCCTAGTAATTCCCAAACCTGGCTGATCTTCAGAATCATCTAGGGAGCTTTTAAAAATGCCAGTATCTGGGCCTCTCACTCAGAGATTTGGATTGATTATATTTTGGCTGGAGTATAGAAATCGGCTTTTAGAATATGCTTCAGATAAACATTTCACATTTGGGGATCACTGCTCAATATCAGGGTCTTACAACCTTGATATGAAGATTGTGGTGTTGAGGGGAACTTTTCCTATAATTCATACACATCACTGATTGCCAAGCCCCTAGTTCCCAAATGACAATGATTGCCCTAGACCACTTATTAGACCTATATATATTTATCCACATGATAGGCATGCTTTAGGATTGGATTGACTACAAAAGTGTAAAAGGATAAATGAGAAAATGCTTGGCTCTTTGATAAGATACAGAACTGGGACCTCTACCTTTCCCTGCCAGACTTAAACTTCAGTCCTCTTGACCAAGAAATTACCCTAGATACTTTAACACCTGTGCCTAATATTTCCCCAACAGTAGAATGGTGTATAAAAATCATGAATGGGCCACCTACCAGTAGGGACGTTTGTAAGAGCAGTATTCATGTATGAGAGGCTGGTACCATGACTAGATGTTCTTTAATAAGTGATTAGCTCAGGAGCATGTGTATAAAGAGAGAGAATACACATTAGAACATGGTGAGAAAACACAGGTTCAATAACTTGAGCAAAAGTAAAGAATGAAGTCACTGGGTTTTGGCCAAATAATTGGTAGCAAATGTACCAAGGGTGAAGAAAAGCCAGTAACATGATGATCAGAAGTGAACTAGGATACCACAGAGTAAGAAGGGCATTTCAAGAACAAATTCTGCTTACTGTATAACAGCACTATTATTAAACACTGCTCAGTAGATTTCTTAGATTAGGTCAAGGATTCATGAATGACTCAATATAGATGGTGAAGAGTCCTGCCATGCAGACTAATTACATATTTTGCCATTCATTTCCTTCTGCCATGAAGCGGTCACATGAAGATATCAGATATATTCTACAGTGAATATATGTGGGGTTTCTTGTCTCTAGCATTGATCTACCTCATTTAGTAATGACATTCTGATAGTCTCTGAAGAATTGCCTCTTCCTAGATACACACATGAATCTGTCTCTGCTCATTAGGTTATACTTTTATGGTTACAGTGATGGTCCTGTTACCAGTTAGATTGATGAGAACTCAATTCTCAGCCAATTGTTAGAATGTTAATGAAGGAGACACATGCTTTCCATAGGAGCTTCCAGGAGGATTGGATAAAAGCCTGAAACATCTGGCAGTCATCTTGCTGTAAGGAAAAAAAAAAAAAGCCTACCCATAAATGGAGCCACTATGAAGAAAACAGAGCCAGTACTTTTAGCTCCTGAATGCAGCCATTTCACTGATTGATATGACCTGGACTTTCTAGAGATGTGAGGTGATAGTCTCAATCTCTCTCTTACTCCCTCTCTCTATCATTTTTAATTAAGTGAATTTGAATTGGGTTTTCTTTTCTTTTTTCTTTTTTTTTTTTTTTTTTTTTTTTTTTTTTTTTTTTTTTTTTTTTTTTGAGACAGAGTCTGGCTCTCTTGCCCAGGCTGGAGTGCAGTGGCACGGTCTTGGCTCATTGCAACATTCACCTCTCAGGTTCAAGTGACTCTCCCGCCTCAGCCTCCCAAGTTTCTGGGACTATAGGCGTGCACCACCATGCCCGCCTAATTTTTGTATTTTTAGTAGAGGTGAGGTTTCACCATGTTGGCCAGGCTGGACTAGTACTCCTGACTTCAAGTGAGTCACCCACCTTAGCCTCCCAAAGTGCTGCGATTATAGGCATGAACCACTGTGCCCAGCCAGAATTGGGTTTTCTAATACATTAAACAAAAGAGTAATTGTTAACATTTCCTGAGAGAGAAAGCTATTTACTTATTCAATACTAGGTTTGCTTATGATTCAAATTTAGCGTATATGAAGAGTAAGCCTTTAGAAGATTGCTGATAATAACCATTTGTTGAAAAAATTGGATTCAAGTAAAAATATTTGAAATAGGAGAGATATCTGCCAAAATATATTTAAAATTTACAAGTAGCAAAGAAACAAAGAGGAAAAGCGGGATTAGAAATAGAAACAGAAGAGGATAAGAGAGAGTCTCACAGAGACTTGGAATTTCCTGATAGGAAAACGCTAATGACACATACGGCAACTTGAAACCATGTAACCAATGATAACTTACTTTTCTAAAGTAATAGCTATTTGTCCCAGTTCTTGCCTTTCCTATTTAAAGATAGAAAAGGGTCAGGAAAATACATAATATACTTTCTAGTTAGTAACTTTCTATGAACTAAAATGAACAGATAAATGAGAAAAAGTCAAAAGTCTTAGAAATATTGGTAGGTAGCAAATTTTCTATAGTTTCTGAAATAGCATGAAAATTTTATTTTATTCATTTGGTTTTAGTTGTTTTAATTCTTCTCCAGAGGCTGGAGCAAGCTCCCTACAACTACTAAGTGTGAAAATGTCAGATCCAGTCTGAACTTGGAGAGGTATTTGCACAGGGCCAAGACAACATGGTGGAAAGGTGAGATGTTTGATTGGTGGGCGATGAGAAATGTGGCTCAGCTAAACTCAGTTAATCCATTCCTTACCCTACTCGAGCTGTTGCTCAATTAATAACTTGTAGCAGAAGTCTCAGCTTGAGGCTATGCCATGTTCATTTCTGGGGATCAGGCCTATCTGTACATATCTGAATAATTGGTAAGAAGCCTAACAGATGCTTATTTATATGCAACATTGATAACCCACGCAGGAGAGAATTCATTTTATAGTGTGCCTCAGTGAATCTGGTGATTTGGGGAAGAGAGATTCTGAGTCAGCTATGGTGGAGTCACTGCATCTACTCTCCACTTGCCAACAATGGCTGTACATTAGAAGTATAAAGGCATATAGGTACAAGTTAAAAAGCCTATTATATTTAAAAACTCAATAAAAAAAAGTAAGCTACGAGCAGAACAATTTCATTAAGTTTCTTAAGAAGTGTGACTCAAATAAATAGAGGTGTTCTTTTCCATTTCACCACAATCTACAGAGCACCAGGCAATTTCAGTGGTGCAAGAAGTATATCTATGGCAACAATGCCTTACAGAAGACAACCATGGTATCAAGCAGAGACACATTGACATGGCAGAGAGAATGGCACTCAGCAGCAGCAGTAGTAGTGTGGTTAGCAAAATTAGAGTTACTGATCAGAAGAGATACCTGTGGCCAGAATAGTGGCGCTGCCTAATGTGCGTGACTGAACTTGGCAGAAGACAAAGCAACATCTACCACACTCACTCATGCTGAAGAGGAACAGCAGGACATGGTAAAGGTCGATGTATTGTCCTGAGGATGGATTAGAATCCAACCGAAACAGTTGTAATAACAATTGTCAGAGCTGTTCGGTCTGAGGTTTACGGGCAGAAACAGACATGCATACATCACCCTCTCCCCAATACACACTGGCATTTAAAGGGTTAATTTCTAGTGTGCTTCTAACTTGCGGTCCTGTTACAAAGTAAATTTTTGTTTCTAAGAGTATTGAAAGGCAAAGTTGACCCCTGGACCCATAAAAATTAAGTGCTGATTTTAAAACCATTTAGACAAACTTGCCAGCAGTAGGGGTAGGAGGCTCCAGGAGCAATGAAAAAACTGTTTCTTTCATTCCTTGATTTCCTGGGGCACTGCATTCACATAATGCCATTTTGACATTGCAGAGACAAGTCTATTAAAATATAAATTATGGTTACTTGGTGTCTTATGTTGGTCCATTTAGCATAATAGTTGCAATTGACCTAAATAGCAGATAGTACATTTTATTCTAAGTGTTTGAAATTAAAATAGATTGAATGATTTTCTTGTATATATCATTGTTGAAGTTTTTGTTACACTCTGAATTAATACAAATAGCAGTAATAACACAACTGGATGCACCTAACATGTATTATTGGATTTATCCCAAGCTGCTTTTTCATAATTGGACATTTCTATCCATGTAACTGAAACTCAGTAATGTTTTTAATGTTTTAAAATTAGAATGTTTTAAGAATCAAACTTGCAGAAATATAATCAAGATAGCAGGTGGAGTGAGAGAGTGTGGTAGCCTGTAAAATAAGATTTTTCCATTTTTCTGAAGGATATTTTGGCTATGTATAGCAAAAGCCATAAAATCTACATACCATCTTATCTAGCAATTAGCTTTTTAGGATTTCTTTTAAAGACAATGTTGAGGTTGTACACAAAGATTTAACTAATTTTTGTTTATTACAACATTATATAGCAAAATGTGGAAATAATATAAATATATAATAGGGATTTAGAGTTATAAAACATCATACAATCACATAGTAAATGATTAGGTAAATTTTGAATCAGTTTGATTACTTTTTTAAGCTTATACTAAATTGCAAATACAGAAATATCACACAGAACATGTATAATGAAATCATAATGTTTTAAGTTGAAGACCATAATGTTTTAAGTTGAAGACCCCAGGAAGCCTCCTTGTGCTCCGTCCCAATCACATCCCTCAATTTCCTTAAATAACCACTATTTTAAATTTTGCAGCAATAAATTCTTTGTGGCTTTATTGATTTTATCACCCAAGTCTTCATTCCCAGACACCACTTTCAGTCTTGTTCATTAATATAAACAAAAATATAAAACTATTTCCATATCTTTTAAGTCTCTTGCAATCTGTAAATTTCTCTGGTGTCTTGCATTTCTTATTAAAAAAAAATGTTGAAGACCCCAAAACATTTTGACCTGCAGAGTTTTCCATGGTCCGGGTTTTGTAGACTGAATATTCTTTGTGCACTTCTACTCATTTTTCTGCCCTCTGTATTTTCTGCAAACTAGCAGCTAGACCCAGAAGCATATCAAGTTCATGTCTGATCTCTTTGGCAAGACTAAAGAGAGTAGCATGTTCTTTCGTTAACAGGTCAGGTAGTTCCACATTTTATGATTCTAAAGCTACTGATGATTACACTTAGAACTGTTAATTATTTGGAGATAAAAATTAGTCACATTCTAATTACATAAATTCTTTTTAAATCGAGTCATTGAAAAACTATTATAAATACATGATTTATCTTATCTACTATTTGGTTATCAAGTAATATTATTCCCATAAGAAAAGGAGGATTATCTCTCTTATTTGCCAGTTTTTTTATTTTTATTTTTACTTGTTTTTAGAAAGTGATTTATTTTAAAGAGAGAGAGAAACAGGAGACGGAGAGAGAAAGAAAGAGCTAACTCTCACACTGAGTGAGAGAATCCAGAAAAATGGAATCCAGGAGAGGAAAGCAGCTTCCACACAGAGTGGAAGGGAATAGAGGGATGGAGTTTAGGAGTGGAAGACAGGCTTCCACAAGAGCGTGTGAAAGGGGACCCCAGAGGGAAAATCCACGATAGAGAAAAACAAAGGGAGTGTTCCACAAAGCGAGTGTTCATGGAAGGGGATCCATACAAGGAGTCCCTTATTTGTCAGTTTTTAAGCTTACCATCCACTGTACCTTTTGCCGGTATTTAATCTTAATTATAAAAGAAATTATGTATTTGATCATCAACATCAGTGCTCATTTCAATGTCTGTCCAATCATTTTGGTTATCTAAAGTGCTTCCTCAAAAAGAAAGTTCTCATGAGAAAAGTAATTCTTCTTTGCTTGTTGATAACAGATTGTCTGTATCCTTTAAAATTAAAAGTTAGTTTTGCTGGATATAAATCTTGCTCATGTTTTCTTTCCTTCCGTCTTTTAATTATGCATTTCCATTTTATTTTGCCATAAATCATTGTGCTGAAAAATCAGATTGTAATGTGAGGCTTTTTCTAATATGTCACGCACTCTCTTTTTTCCTAGATAACCAAAGATTTTTGTTTGTTTTTTTGAGTCTAGGAATTGTACTAAATATGTCTTGCTGTTCATCATTCTGGATTGATATTCTCAAGTACATGATATGCTTATAAAATCATTTTTGATTTTAGAAAACTTTTGGAATTATAGTTTTTATCATTTGCCATTCCTTTGTATTGATTTGGCTTTCATCGTTAGAGATTCTTAAATATTTACCACTCTTTCTAGAGCTATTTCTATCTGTTTTTCTTTGCAACTTAATAAAAGTCCTCTTATTCATCTTAGACGTTTTTACTTATAAAAGTGTATTTATTCAATTTTGTGTTCTTTCTTTTGAAGACATTTTATGAATTATTTTTCTTTTGATTTCTAATTCCTTCCTAAGTTCTGAACATTTCTGAGATTTAATTACTGCTTTGTTTACTGCTTATTTTTAAAATTGGCAGATAAAATTGTATGTATTACTGCATATAACATGTTTTGAAATATATATATATACATTGTAAGAATGACTAAATCTAGCTAATTAACATTTGTATTACTTCACATAATTATCATTTTTGTGGTGATAACACTTTAAAACCTACTCAGCAATTTACAAGAATACATTACATTGCAAACTATAGTCAACATGTTGTACCATACATTTCTTGAACTTATTTCTCCTGTTTAACTGAAATTTTGTATCCTTTGACAAGCATCCCTCTAAACTCCCCCGTCTCTAGCCATTCCTGGTAATCACCATTCTACTCTTCTATGAGATCAACTTTTTTAGATTCCATGTAAGTGAGATATCATTCCATATAAATGAGATTATGTCGTATTTGTCTTTCTGTGCCTGGTTTATTTCACTTAACATGAGGTCCTCCAGGTTCTTCCATGTAGTCACAAACTATAGCATATCCTTTTCTTTAATAACTTAATAGTGTTTCATTATGTATATAT